CCCCCTTCCAGAACCTCCCCCCCTCTCCCCCTCCCCGGCTTTCCCTGCCTTCCGCTTCCCCAGCCTGGGCCCTCCTCAGCTCAGGCCAGGTTCTGAGAGCAGCTCTGCCGACTCCAGCAGCAGCCCCGGGCCCCCTTTTCTCAATGGGCCGGGGGAATTTTGTGAATGGGCGGTCACGTGACCGGGCCTCCCTTTGTCCTCCCTCCCCCCTTTCCTCCCCTCTCTTCTCCACCCTTCCCCAGCAACAACGTGTGAACCCTAAGGGTTGGAAGGAGAAGCAGGGGCTGGGAGCCAGGGATGCCTGGGTCCGCAGGCTCCAAAGAAGAGACAGAAATCTTTTTTTTTAAACGAATGAAGCAGCTGTTTCTACACGTCCAAACATCCTCCACCACCCCCAAACCTCTCCCTCTCCCCAAGCCTTCCTCCCCCAAACCTCCCTTCCCCCATTCGTTAACTATCTCTCCATCCAGTCTCCCTGCACCAGACATCCCCACATTTCCCCAAACTTCCCCCCTCCCCCAAACCTCTCCCTCAAATGTCCCTCCCTCTCTCCACCCCCCTTCCACCAATCCCCCTTCCTCAAACATCTCCTCTCCACCAAATTTTCTCTCCTCCCCTCCCTCGCCCAGGCCTCCCCAAATATACACATTCTCCTCTCCCCTGATTTCCTCCCTTCCCCAAAGATAAAGGGATGGGTAATCTGTTCCTCAGCTGGGCTTCAGGACCTCCGACGGGGATGGGGGTGGGGGAGACCGTAGGAGGGTCTCCATGGCTCCGGTGAGAGGGGTGGGGGCGCTAGGCACAGTAAAAGACGCCCCCTTCTCCCTCCCCTCCCCCTCCATCCCTCCTTTTCATTCCCGGTCCCGGAGCCTCTCTATTATGCACTCCCCTCCTCACCCCCAATCTGGCATCCTCTTGGAGGAGGAGGAAGATGAAGAAGAGAAAAAAAAGAGGAGGCGCAGTCATAATCCAGCGCCCAGAGCCTGGGACCCACCTGACTTCAGGGGAGGGGGCTCCCCTTCCCCGGCCCCCCCAGGCCTCGGCGCCCCCTCCTTCCCCAAGCACCTGCCTCGGTGCTCCCGGCGGGCTCCCAAGTGGCGGCGGCGGCTGCCTCTGCCTCCTCCTCCCTCCTTCCCTCCCTCGCTGTGGCGGTGGCGACGGAGCCCAGAACGGGGAGCCGGGCTTGGGGGGGAAGGTAAGGGGGGGTTGGGAGATGGATAGATGGAGAGGGGAGGTGATGGAGGAGGAGGGAAGAGAAGGAGAAAAAAAGATGCTCTGCCAGGTCCTAGCGCCCGCCGCCAATTCCCTGCCTGTGGTCCAGTACGCCTTGAGACACCCTCCCCAAACCCTCCCCTGTCCCAAATGAAAAGAACCTCCCCCCCGCGCCCCCGCCCCCCCCATCCTCTCCACCACTACCCTAACTCTCCGCACTGTCCCGGCGGGAGGAGAGGGGTGGGATTGGGGCAGGGTGGGAGGGAGTGTCAAATGGGCGGACCCTTGGAATAAGAGCGTATTCCCGGGGTGAGACTGTGCTGGACAGGGTTTGAAAGAGGAGGAGCTATAATGGGGGAGAGCTCGAAAGGGGTAGGACCCCATGGGAGGTTGGGGGAAAGGTTCGACAGGAGCGGGTCCCGGGAAGGGAAATTTACTCCTAGGGTGGGACTTGATGGAACCGTATTCTTAAGGGGCGGGGTCTGGGCGGAGTTGAGGAGTGGGAGCGTTCTCAAGGGGCGGAGCTATTGGTGGGGGTCTCTAAATGAGACTGGGCTAGGACCTGGAGATTTCTGAAGGGCGGGACAGGAAAGGGGCTCTGGAGGGGTAAAGCCCAAGAGAAGCGGACTGAGGGGATGGTTCGGGGCTGGGAGAGAAGGCTGTCCCAAGACGTTCCGAAGGGGGAGGGGCCGAAAGGTGTGGGCTGGGGGGCAGAATTTCGAGTCTGGGGGAGGGGCAAAAGAAGGGGCGGGGCGTGGTCTCGGGGTCTCTCCCCCCAACTCCCCTAGTTCTTTTTCAGTTATTTGTCCGCTCTGGCCGTTCCCCTTCCCTCCTCTCCTCTCCTCGGGGCTTGGTGTGAGCCCACACCTGGTCGGGAGCCCAAGTCCCACCCGGGAGCTGGTGAGTGTTTTCGGGCGGGGCTGGACCTGGGTAGAGGGTTACAGGTGGTGAGGGGAACTATAGCTAGGGGAAGAGGTACCCATTTGGGGCGTGGCTCGACTCAAGGGGAGGAGTTGCAGGTTTCAAGACAAGGTCCCGCAGAGGGTGGGCTTGGGGATCCTTAGACTTGAGCGTGGGGGAAAGAAACATGGAGGGGCGGGGCCAAGGCGGAGGGGGCGGAGTCACAGGTCTAGGGGCGGGGCGATGGTTTCTGCCCCAAGACTCCTCTGACCTTGGTTTCCCGGGGTTGGTTGTATTGCCCGCAGCCTCCCCCTCCCCCCGGGCTGGGAATGGGCAACGTGCAGTCTGAGTCGCCGGGCTCAGAGCCCGGCAAGGCCCGTGCCTCACGGAAGGAGCCGGCCTCGGACCCGCCTGCCAACGCCAGCCGCCGCGGTCCCCTGGCCGAGGCAGAGTCTTCGCCAGCGCCCCCAGCTCCAGGGCCTCCTACTCTGCGCTTGGCTCGCAGTCCAGGAGTCTGGTTCCCCGGGGGCCCCACCCCATCGGGGCTTTTGGTGCCCCCCGAGGGTGCTGCCGGGGCCCTACCGTCATCGCCTCAGCCTGCTCCGCCGGCCCCCGCACCGCTCGACCTGCAGCCGCCCGCCGGAACCCCATCCGAAGAGGCTCCTCCGACGGCGGCGGGAACTGGAGGGCCGCTGCTCCCTACGCCCCGCAAGTGGCGAAAGCCGCCGGGGACACCTGCACCCCGGATCCGGGGCCTGCTAGAGGCGCGCCACCGAGGCCAGGGCGACCCACCTGGCCTTCGCCTGCTGCCCCCACCCCCGCCTCCGCCCCTACCCACTCCACGGCCCCCAACGGATGGGCCAGAGCCTTCAGTGGGTCCAGCCCTGCCGCCCCCGCCTCCGCCCCCTCCTCCAGAACCTCAGAAATCGCCTCCCGAACGAGAGGCAACCCCGGGCCGGAGAAGCGTCCCTCCTGGGGGCTCCCCGCGAGGCGGCGCGGGCGAAGGCAGGGCGCGTCAGACTGGCAGCCCTGGGAGGGAGGGTCTAGCGGCCGGAGGCGGTGAGGGAGAACCCCCGCCAGCGGCTGAGCCGGGCTTCAGCCTGCTGTGCAAAGTGACCTTCCAGTCTGGCTCCGTTCTGGCCGGCGGGGCCGCCGCGCCTCCCAAGCCCCGGGCTCGCGGGGGCGGTCTGCTCTTCTCCTCGGGAGCCATCTCTTATGCCGAGGCCCTAAAGCAGGGCTTCCCGGGGCCTGGGTCCCCTAGGGCTCCAGAAGAGATTATCCGGGGTACCTTGGAGACAGAGGGTGGGGAAGGAGATGGAGAGGGGCCAGTCGGGGACCCCCCGGCTGTGCTCCCGGCCCCACCTCCCCTGCCAGCACCCCGGGCACCACCCCCACCTTATGCCCCCTTCCCAGGAGCTAAGCCCAAGTTCGATTGGGTGATCCCGCCTGAAGGCCCCGATCGCCACTTTCAGTTCAACGGGGCGAGCGGTGGTAGCAGCAGCGGTGTGGGGGGAGCTAGGCGGCAGGGATCCGGGCTGGCCGGGGTGGCTGCCCCTTGGAGTGCGCCGCCTCCGCCACCACCACCTCTACCTGCGCCCAGGCCTCGCAGGCCGGGCCCAGCGTTCCTGGCACCCCCTGTCTTCATCTTCCCGTCTCCCTCCTTGGTCGACGGGGAGACCCGGGCCCCAGCTGTCCAGGTTTCCCCAGGGCCGCAAGAAGTCCCCCGGCTGTGGCTCCCACCACCTCCGCCTCCGCTACCAGCCCCCCCGGCGTCTGTTTTGCCTGAAGCACCTCCCGCCCTGGTACCCGCGCCGACCCCGGCCGTGCAGTCTCCACGGGCTGCGGGACCTCCGTTCCCGGCCCCTGCCAAGCCTCGGACCAAGAAGAACAAGGGTCCGCGGAGCGGGCGGGGCGGCACCGCGCGGGAGGAGGGCGCGATTGGCGAGGGTCCCCGCGAGCGGACGGCGTCGGGCCAGGGCCAGCCCGCTGAGAGTGACGGCCCCCCTCCAGCTCGCCACTGGCCGCCCTTCCAAGTGCTCAGCTCCTGTCCTTGCAAGTGCTACTGTCGCCACCAGCCCCGGCACCGCCGGCTGCCCCGCAACGTCTCTGCCTGGTGAGCGGCGCCTGGGTCTCAGGCAAGCTGCCCCTCTGGGGGGAGGCCTGGGGGGACCAAGCACCGAAGAGGCCAAGGCACGACTGGAACCCAGATTTTTGAGGCTCTTCTGTCAGGCTGCCTCCATGGGTCCAGACTTGGCCCAAACCTTCCTCCCTTGGGGCTTAAAATGTGAAGGCTTGGGCATGGGGTAACAGAGCTGCCTCCTCCCCTCTTCCCCTAGGCTGAGCACTCCCACCAACCACCTGAGCGAGCCCCCTTGGGTGGCCACGGTCAAGCTGGCTGGCTCCTTAGTGGCAGGGCTGGACCACTACGACCTGCAAGCAGCTGAGGCAGACTGAGGGTGCACCGGAGAGGCTACTGGATCATCTCCTGTCCCTCCAATAAAAGAGCCCAGTCTCCCCTGCTGGTGCCTTCTCTCCTCTGTCGCCCAGCTGGTAGGGGGAGGGCCTGTTAGCACCATGGTGGAGAGAAGGCCCCTGTGCCTCTGAAGGGGCAGGGCTTCCCTTTTCTTTCCCTGGCCCCGGGACTGGCCCACAAGCTGCCTAATTGGGGCAGAAGCCAAAAGAGAGAGCAGGCCCTCCCTGCCAGAGGTGAGCTTCCCAAGGCTGGGCTAGGCAGAAACTCAGGGAGGATGGACCAAGGCCTTGACCTGCCCTGGGCCCACTTGTCCTCAATACTCAGTGGGTGCTCTGTGAATGTGTGTGTCTTCCCATTCTCCTGGCTCACAGCATCCCCACAGACTCACGGACACCTGACGGGTGACCTCATATCATTTATTGACCCACTGAACCATACTATTCCCCTTTTAAATAAGTCTCTCAGCCTGCGCTGTCCCCCCTCCCCCTCTCAGACAATCATCTCTAGCTGCCTTGCGTACTCGATGACTTGCTTTGCCAGCTCTGTGGAGGGGATGGTTGTATCCTCAGGCTTCTGCTGCTGGGACGTGAAGCTGTAGTAGTTGCTGGGGCCCAGGACCCATCCCCTCTGAAAAGAGAAGGGAATTGGGAGAAAGAGATGAAGGGAGGGACCCCCCAGAGACTCAAGATCTCCCCCTCCCCCCACTGCCTAAGTACCTTCTTGGCATACTCAGTCATCTTCTTGGGGGAGGTGAAGAAAAGGATTCGTGTGGCTTCCGCAAAGAGGATCTTTTCATAGGCCTTCTCGATGCAGCCAGCAATCTCATCCCTGGGTAGGAGAAACAGAATGAAGAGGCCAAACTGGCTGGGGGAGGGAACGAGCAAAGGGAAGGCTCATATCCCTTTAGAGCCCCACCGGGTGCTGCCTGGAGGTGACCTCTGCCTCAGGCCCCTCTCCCAGCGCCAGCTCCTCAGGGTCAAAGCGTGGCCACCGCCTACCTCATCTGAGCATCCCACATACTAGAACAGGCTCCACCAACCGGCTATCTGATAGGAGTCCTCACACACTGAGAGATGGAAAGGCTCTTCAAAGTCACGGAGAGAGCCGGATCAAAGAATGCTAGGCTTGAGGGAGTCAGGAGCTCTGAGTTCAAATTCAGTCTGACAGGTAATAGTCATGAAACGGGCTACATCATCTTCTCTCTCTGAGACTCAGTGCTCTCATCTATGAGCTGGGGATACTATTTGTACTCACTGCCCTGTAAGGTTATAGTGGGGACAACAATCTCTTTGAATGAGCAGCATGTGGTCCGGCCTAAGCTTCCCTGCCAAGCGGGCTCGAGACAGTCCTGCCAGCAACTCTGGGACACGGTAAAGAAGGGCAAGGCCCAACCCCTGGCAGATGTTTTTTCAGGATACTCCACCCCCAGGTCCAGAACAGTGTGAATCATAAATCCCAGGGAGGGGCTGACCATATGGAATGTCACACTGTTTGAAGTTGCCATTGGTTCCAGCCCAATGTTAATATGCAGCCTGAATTCAAATAACTGAACCACTTTCACATTAATTCCCACTAATCTGCAAGCCCATGGAAGCTTAGTTGTAGTGTGCACGAAGACCCAAGTCTCAACTGATGCCCCTGCTCACCCCTGGAACACGTGGCCCATGGCCAGATTTGGGTCCAAGAGCTTAGCTTTACAAATTATAGGCTTACGTTCTCTACTATCTGCGATTTGCAGCTAATTTTTCATCCTGCTTTCTGTGACTGGCCCTTAGCACCTTCACATTTTGCCAAGGGAAGCAAAAATTATGGTTCTGCAAAAGGAGACCAGGTTCTAGGCTCGATTCTATCCATGTCCTTGGAAAAAGCCGCCTTTCTCTGCACCTCAGTTGAGATGAGCTAATGTCCATGGGCTTTTCTAGCACCACTGGTGTCTAGGCCTCAGCCTTCACCAGGTCAATGGGACAGGAACACTGATGCTAGCAATCAGAGTAGCTCCTGACCTAGCAACTTCCATCTTCTGGTGCTCACCACTGGCCAGGGAGGTGAGCAGTCTGCAGGACTTCTTATATTTTACACATGAGGAAGGGAATAGGCTATGGGTCCCATTTTCCAAGAGAGCTCTTTTCCCCAAGCCCACAGTCCCAGCCCAAGAACATTTGACCCAGAGGATCAAATCCCAGCTCCCAACCACAGGCATAACCTCAAGTCCTCTCTCTGCTCTGGGCCTCATTAGTTCATCTAATGAGGACAGATGGTGAGGAATGTCTGAAAAAACTGGGGTTTGTCAATACTGGAAATGTGTTAGCCCTGCCAGCACGACAAGATTTGGAGAAACCTGGGCAGGTGTGTATGTCACTATAGCAAAGTAAGCTGAAGCCTGGTTTACCAGATGGCCAGATCACAAAGAAACTGGGAGCCATGCTGGGAGTGGTGAGGCTCCCTGCTGCCCCAACTCATTCTGACTCTTGAATACAAAGGGAGGCAGTCTGACTGCAGACGTGGGCAGTGATGCCCAGCCCCCCAGCGGGGAGGAGAGGGTTCATGGTTTGAAAACGGCACTCTCCTCGACTCCAGGAGAACCTGGTGTGCCTCCCCTCGGGGCAGCTTCCAGGAGAATGACACCCACCTTATCGTGTCCAGCAAAATGTCAATGAAGAACGTGTAGCTCTCCGCAGGGATGTTTCCCTTGGCCAGGAACACCTTATTGTAGCTTCCTTCCATCAGGTACTTTAGGGATGGAAGAGAGGGTGTCAAACAAGACCCCAGCGCGAAGCTCCCTACCATGCCCCCCCCACCCCCCACACCGGGCACACCCTGACAACAGACTTGACCCTCAAGGACATGACGAAATGGCATCTACTACAAGGGAAGGCAATGTCACCAGGACAGAGACAAAGGAGATCCGAGGGCCCCCCAATATCGACACCCTGGGTCTGTCCGCCCCCTCGCCTACCCGGGAGGTGTGCTCCAGCCAAGCATCCCTAACCTGCTCTAAGGACACCGGGTGCTTGATGTAGACGTTGGTCTGGATGTCCTTAGCGGGCAGCCGCTCCAGCTCTGTGTGGAACTCGGCCACTCGGTTCTGGGACAGCAGGAACAGTAGATTGAGGCCCAGAAGCTGGTGCATGTAGGCCGACTCAGGGAGCTGCTCCCTGCAAAGCGGGCCAAGGGCAGCAGTGAGGACAGAACCCTGCCCCAGCTCCCCACCACTCCACACACAGACCTCTAGCATGTCCCCGGACCTTCACAACATTCCCATGGAGTGAAACACATATACAGAACCACTGCAGCAAGGTTCGAGACCCCTGAGATGAAGCTTCCCCCTTTTATACATGGGGAAAACCAAAGCCCAGAGACAGGAAGAAACTTGTTCAGAGGTCACATAGGGTGAAGAACTCTGAAGTCACTGAGGGAGTCCCAGGCAGGGCCAGGGACTTCACAGTCTTGGATTCCACTCCTGGCCCCATGACTTAAGTGTGGGCAAGCCTGTCCAGATGGTCTCTGATGCTGAGGACCCTCCGCGAGCCTTGAACACACCACAGTGGTGGACGACATAATCTTCTCCACAATCTCTCAAATCTCTATATGGATACTTTCTACACAGCAACAGGTGTGGGGGAGAGGGAAGCAAGGTTATGGGTCTGCCCCTGCTGCCCATGTCTTCTAAAGGGCATCTATCCAAAGTTCTGAAGGCCACTCTTTGTTTCCTCCTAAAGATCCCGAGGCCTCTAGCAGTGTTATGAATTTACTGATCGCTGGACAAAGACTGTCCAAGAGCTGTGTGACCCTTGGAATCCTTTGCCCTCTTTTCCACCACTACACAACTGGGGCAGGTGGTGGCAAAGTGGATAGAAAACTGGGGAATCAGGAAAACTTGAGTTCAAATCCCACCACAGGTACATATTAGCCATGTGATCCTGGATAAGCCTCTTAACCTACTTGCCTGGTTTTCTCATCTGTAAAATAGGGATCATAATAGCACCTACTTCCCAGGGTGGCTAGGAAGTTCAAATGAGATATCTGTAGCTTAGCACACTGCCAACACACAGTAGGTGCCATATCAATGCAATTCCCTTCTTGCAATGGTTAATTTTTTTAAAAAGGTGATACAAAAAGACTGCAAATCATTCTGGCTTTGCTTCATGAGTTTGTTCTGGCCTAGCAGCAAAAAATCTCATCTCCTAAAGGCCAGGCATCTGGGGATAAGCTTCTCAGTACTTAATTAGGCTCCAGTCCTAGGACAACAGAGGCTGTTCATACTAAAGCCTCTCCCAAATTTTGTTCTATGAGCAACAGCCTTCAGAAACGTTAGGTCTTAACTATGCCACTATAAATTATGAGGAAGCCTTTTGTTCAAGGAAGTTGAGACCTGTGTTCAAATCTTGGCTTTACTGGTGTCTTACTGTGTAACCTCAGACGAATCCCTTCTACTCTCTGGGCTCCCTATCTGCACAAGGAAATGATTAAGCTTCATGGTCTCCCTGAGGTTCATTTCAGCTAAAATGGCCTGAACTGGTGGTGGCGCGGAGAGCCCAGTGTATATAAAAGAGGTGGATTCTAATACTTCTCTGTGACTCTAGACACATTAGAGAGCGAGCTAAAGCACCCAAATCTTTCCCATCTCAAATTTTTCTTTTAGGGGGAGGGCTATGGTGGAAAGGGGCAAGGTAGTTATACTACACTGGTACTTTGATCCCTGGTTAATAATAATGGGTATCAGTAGCTAAGCACCCTGCCTAGTACTACTGCCTCCCACCCCTGCCCCACCTCATCCCTCATATCTCACTTGTAGTCAAAGTAATAGCATTTAAGCTGGGCCATGTATCGCTCAAAGGAGGGTATGTCCTTCCGCAAGATGCTCCATTGGGCACCAATCTCCAAGATGTCACCTGAGGGAGGTGGAGTGGAGACAAGAGAAAGGATGATAGGATGGGTCTATTGCTCAGAACAGAGAACAAAAGATTCCCTCAAACCCCTAGTATCCCTCCCCCATCTGCGTCCTCTCAGTCACTAGAGTTCTGGCTACCAAAGATCATTCTGACCATCCCCGTCTCCATTAAAACCAACTCTTTCTGACTCCTGGAGCAGATTTTTCGGGGAAAAGTGTTTTTTTTTTTGTTTTTTTTCCAAGGGGGAAGAGGGACTTTGGGGAAGGGGAGTTAGTGGCTCCACTATGATTCTGTCGGGATTTGGGGAAGAGGAAAGAGCAAGAAAGACTCACGGGCCAGGATGAGCTGCTGTTTGGTCAGTTTCGTACCCGTAGTAGGCAGGAAGTTGAGTTCCAGCAACACCAACTGGCCCAGGGACAAGAGCAGAAGACAGACGGGATGAGCGGGGGCTCGGAGGACCGGTGTTTCCAGGCAGCCGCCACCCCAGACCTAGGCTGGGCCCACAAAGCACCTCCTACAAATTCCATAACTCTGGTCCTCTCTGTTCCAGGTTCATGCAACCAACCACGGATCTACTCAACCAAGTTTGCTCTAGGAAGGTTCTTAGGCCATAGTCCGGGCTAGGACCCTGAGGGAAGGGAGACACGATTGGCTCCTTAAGTCTCCCTCCCGTTATGCTCGGGTCTGGCACGATCTGGCCTGACTCTGCTACTCCCGGGGCGCCCCCCATGTCACACTTGGTACGTTCCACGTCTCCCGTCTGCCAGCATGGGCCGAGCAGTCTCCGGTATCCCCCCCCCCCCGCCCCCCCTTGGGACGTCCCCCCCCCCCCCCCCCCCCCCCCCGCCCCTGGGACCCCCCCCGGCCCGTCCCGTTACGTCCCCCCCCCCCGGCCCAGCACCTTGAGGCGGCCCAGCTCCTCGCCGCACTTGCTCAGATTGGGGCTCTTGCGGTTCCACTCGCCCTTGAGCTGCTCGTACATGCCGGCGGCTTCCTGCAGCACCGCCCTGGAGGCCCCAGACCCGCTCGCCCCGGCGGCCCCATTCGCCGCCGCCGCCGCCATCTTAGCGACTGTGACGCAGCACGGCGGGGATACGCGGGGCGGCGCGCATGCGCCCGGGCGCCCGCTCCGCCCACGGGACGCCCGGCCTGGCGGAAGGATCGGCTCAGCGGCCTCTCTGTGCCAAACCGAGGCGGGCCCGCGCGAGGTCCCGCCCCCTGGCCAGGCGTTCCCCACGTAGGGCGGCAGGGGGCGGTGCAGCGAAGAGTGACCACTGAGCTCCAGGGAGGGGGGCGGGATGAGCAGTGGGAAAATGGCAGCCCCGAGGCGCGGCAGTCATAGGTTCGAATCTAACCTCTGTTACTCAAGGACTTTGGCGCACGTCGCAACATCTGTGGTGCTCAGTTTTATCTCCTGTAAAATGAGGGGGAAGTGGATAACAGATTAGAACTGCTCAAAGAAGTTATGACCATCATAATAATATGATCTTGTTATTATATTGCATATATTAATGTCTAGCATTTATATAAATTTGCAAAGCTACCTTTAGGAATGGTATCTCATTTTTATCTTCACAATAACTTTGGGTTGTTGCCATCATTATCCCCATTTTACAGACGAGGAAACAGGCTGATTTGTCCAGAATCACAGAGCGAGTAAGAATCCAAAGCAGGATTCAAACTCAGATTATTTTGGCTCCAAGTTCAGCAGTCTGAATCCACTGTGCCCCTAAGCTGCCACCCTAGAGTAACTGGTATGAACAGAGGCAGGCAGAAGTGAGCAGAATCAGGAGGATACACAATATTCCCAAGGCTCACAACCATGAAACTGGACCTGTGTAATTATGCTAACCAAGCTTGGCCCTTGAGGAGAAATGAGAAAATGCACCTTCCCTCCTTTCTTTGCAGAGGTGGGGGACTATGGGTGTGAAGCAGCACATACATGTGTCATGGAGACTCAGCTGAGAATACCCTATCTGCCTCCCGGGGCAAATCAGAACAAATCTAATCCATTCCTCTTCAGACCTGAATAAGACAGGTTATAATAAGAACAGATAGCATTTGTAGGACACGTAAAGGTTTACAAAGTGCTTTACTAACTCAATTGTCATATTTCTCTGTACATATGTCTTATTCTAGTAATACTGTAAGCTAGACAGAGAGAGAGAGGGAGGGAGAGAGAAAGAGAGACTTTCATTTTTTACCTTGGTATCTGAAAAGGGGAAGATTCAAAGTGCTATAAGAAAATTAGATGGGGAACATTCACTTTCATTGGAACATCAGAAATGACTTCATGGAGGAGTTGGCACCTGGACTGGGCAGAAGTGAAGGGAAAGTGTTCCAGACAATGTGGACAGCCTACATGAGGCAGTACAGAGTGAGATGAAACTGAGGAGTGACCTGTTGTCCAATTTGCCTGTCAAGTCATGTGCATGAAGGTGAGGTAGATTGAAATTAGATTCTAACGCCTTGAATGCCAGCAAAGGACTTTGTATTTTATACACAATGAGAAACCATGGAAAGTTGATTTGTGGAGAAACTCAAGTTGAAGAGTAACAGCATCTAGCCTTCTAGCCAGAGAATGAGGATTCCCTGGGCTGTATTATCCTGGAATCTATCCCTCTAGTAAAAGAAGGGGAATGTAGCCCCAAGGTGGAGAGTTTAGGGACCCAGCCTTCTAACAACATTAAACATTTAAACATTAAACATAGCTCCTGCTATGTGCCAGGCATTGTGTTAAGTACTTATGTCAAAAAAGGGTAATTTCCTGGGTAATGGCACTTCTAGAAAGAGAAGATGGAACAAGTTTTCTACCCGCCCTCTACCCCCCACATAAATGAAGTGCTAGGGGGAGCAGTCACAAGTGACTAAAGTCATGATATGGGGGAGTAAGAGATCTAGAGTTTGTACTCTGCTGTTACCATTGCTGTGAATTATTTAAATGGAGTGTTTCTAGTATGGGAAGGGAATAAGCTGTATTTTGCCCCTGCTGTATGCCAGGCACTGTGCTAAGCACTTTACAAATATTATCTCATTTGATCCTCACAGAAAACCTGTGAAGGGGGTACTTTTATCCACTCAATGCAGCCTCTGAAGCTGAGATGCAACAAAGTAGGGATCGATTCTCTGCTGCTTGCGCTAATTTTGGCCTAACAATTAACACCAAGAAAACATAGATTCTCCATCAGCCAGCACCACACCATCCATACGTGGAACCATTGGTTATAGCAAATGGAGAAGTTTTGAATGCTGTGGATAAGTTCACTTACCTTGGCAGTGTACTTTCCAGGGATGTACACGTTGATAATGAGGTTGACGCGTGTATTGTCAGAGCTAGCTCAGTGTTTGGGAGGCTCCGAAGCAAAGTGTGGGAGAGAAGAAGTATTAGACTGACTACCAAACTGAAGGCCTACAGAACCATTGTGCTGACCTCATTGTTGTATGCCTGTATGCCAGTATACCAGAACCATGCCAGGAAACTGAATTGCTTCCATTTGAATTATCTTAGGAAGATTCTGAAGATCACCTGGCAGAATAAGATACCAGATATTGAGGTCCTTTCTCTAACTTAATTGCCAAGCATTCAAACTCTTATACACAGAATGCAACTCCAATAGGCTGGCCACGTTGCTTGAATGTAAAACGTATGCTTGCCAAAAAGACTATTTTAAGGAAAACTTGCACAAGGCAAGTGTTCACGTGGTGGTTAGAAGAAGCAATAGAAGGACACTGAAGGTCTCTATTAGGAACTTTGACATTAATTGTGTGACATGGAAACATTGGCACAGGACCACCTAGTATGGTGTGCCCATATCTGAGAAGGTGTTGTGCTCTATGAGCAAAGCAGAACTGAAGTAGCTCAAAAGAAACACGAGATGCACAAATTTAGAGAACCCGCTCCAAATGTTCACAGAGATGATTTGTGCCTGACCTGTGGTAGAACGTTCCAAGCTCGTAGTGGTCTGATCAGCCACCCGGACACACTGTACCTCGACTCTAGCATCGTGATGTCATTTTGGGCCTCTTTGAGAATGAAGGACAACAACTAACCATTATTGTTTTACACTCGAGGAAACTGAGCCAGCCAGAAGTTAGGGGATTTGCCCTGGGCCACATAGGAAGTGCCTGAGGCTGGGTGTGAACTCCTTCCTTCCGACTCCAGGATCAATGCTCTGTCCACTTTCCTAATGGGATCGGGAAAAGGAGTTGCCTGTGCAGCAGCCCCAAATGTGTTTCCCTTCCAAGAGAATCAAAGCCCACAGAGTAGCACCATAAGGATGCATGTCAGTACGGATCTGTGTGGGGTGAAAGAGGGACGCACCAGACCCATACTGACTGTTGTGACACATTCCATCGTGTCTGGTCTCTGTGGTCCCGTACCTCTGTTTATAATGAAAGAAACCAGCATTCTGGGAAGATGGCAGAATGAGGCAGGAAATTACCTGGCTTTCCCCAATTCCCCTACAAATAACTTAAAATAATGCCTCAAAGTGAGCTTAAGAGTGGCAGGAATAATTAAGAGTTGGGGTAAAGCAGCTGTCTAGCCTAAGACAACTTGGGAAGACATTAGGAAAGACTTGACCTGCTGGGGTGGTGGTCTGGCATGATGGACGCAGAGACCTCCACGCACTGCCTCCAATTCAACAACCAACAAGCCCTGAAGGCAGCTGTGTGAGCAGCAGTCTCAGCTTTAGGACCTTTTGCCTCACTGACAGTGTAGAGGTCAGGCGGCTGATTAGGGGAAAAACACAGGGCCCTCCACTTACTGGCACTGGACTAGGGGTTCAGTTGTGCTGAGCGGATAAGGTCCTAGACTGTGGAGGAGGATTGAGTACCCACTGGTGAGTACTGTGGCAGAGGGGCAGGGGCCCTGCTGGCTGTGGTCATTCCTAAAAGAGCTGAGTCCCTGGTTTAGGTTGCAGGACAGAGGAGAGAGCTAACATTTACAGCCACCAGACAAACTTTAGGGGGTAGGAGGGTTTGAAGTGACAGTGTTGTTGGGGGCACTGGAGAGGAGTACCTGAAGTCACAAGGCTTGAGATGGAGGAGTAGTGACCACACCTGGCCTTGGATTATAGAACATTGGAAGAAACAATAAGTTCCCAATACAGAACTCAGAAAAGAACAGCACAAAAATCCTGAAATCTGAGACATTGTCCCCTACACTTTGGGAGTAGAGCCTGACTCTAACAAAAAGTTAACAGCCAAGAAAAAGGCTCTAAAAAAAAGTAAGCAAGAGAGAAAGAACCTGGCCATAGATAGCTGCTGTGGTGATAGAGAAGATCAGGGTTCAAACTCAGAAGAAGGCAGTGAAGTCAAAACAACTACTTCTAAAGCTTCAGAGAAAAATGTGGAATGGTCATAAGCCTCAAACGAATTCTTTTTTTTTTTTCAGATTTATACACACACATGCACACATTTGTCCATTTATTTATTTATTTTTAATTTTCAACATTCACTTCCACAAGATTTTTGAGTTCCAAATTTTCTCCCCATCTTGTCCCACCCCCAATCCCAAGACAGCATGCATTCTGAATACCTTTTCCCCTAATCTGCCCTCCCTTCTATCTGCCCCTCCTTCTCTTATCCCCTTCCTCTTCTATTCTCCTGTAGGGCAAGATAGACTTTTATACCCCATTGCCTGTATATCTTATTTCCAAGTTAAATGTGAAAACAATTTTTTAACACCTCAAATGAATTCTTGGAAGAGCTTAAAAGGGACTTTAAAAATCAGATGAGAGAGATTGAGGAAAACAGTAAAAAGAATAATGCAAGAAGATCAAGAAAACTGTGAAAATAAAGTCAAACAATTGGAAAAAGAGATCCAAAAACTTAAAGAAGAAAATAACTCTTTAAAAATTAGAATTGGGCAAGCGAAGCTAACGACTTCATAAGACACCACGAAATAATAAAACAAAATCAAAAGAATGAAAAAGAAGAGAATGTGAAATATTTCATTACAAAAAAAACTGACCTGGAAAACAGATTGAGGAGAGACAATATAAGAATTGTTTGGCTACCTGCATATTATGATAAAAAAAGAATCTAGACACTATACTTCAAGAAATTATTAAGGAAAATTGCCCTGAAGTT